TGTGGGTAGGTGCGTGTGACTGTGGGTGGGTGTGGCTGTGGGTGTGGCTGCGAGTGTGGCTGCAAATATTGGTGTGGGTTATTCTTTTTCTATCACCCCCACCCCCACCCCCACCCACCCCCACCCCCACCCACACCCACCCACACCCACACCCACACCCACCCACACCCACACCCACACCCACACCCACCCACACCCACACCCACACACTCCCACACCCACACCCACACCCAGCCACACCCACACCCACACCCACTCACACCCACACCCACACCCACCCACACCCACCCACACCCACACCCACACCCACACCCACACCCCACCCTAAATATTATTACAGATTTATATAGTTCAACATAAACCTCAAGTATTCAACTTATGGTATTATAATACATTGCTGGATTAAATGTTTCATCAAATATAATCTAATGACGATCTATAAAAAACAATGCAAACATTGAAAAGTTTCAATAATTGAAATAAATTCATATTTTGTGTAATAAAAATTTTCAATTATACTGTTGTTGATCTATCGAACACAATGTGTTCGTCTGCTTCGTATTCACAAATGAACATGACAGAGAGAAAAGAATAAAAAAAAATAGGTCAAGAGAATAATTTTGTTATTTCTTTTCTTTCTCTCGTCCGTAACTTATCGTTCATGTTATCATTGATGATCAATCATAATATGACATAATCCATGTGTATATCAATTAAGCATTTTCCATACACGTACATTGAGATATTTGTGATTGACTTTATCTCAATGTATGCGTGTATGTTGATAATAGCTTAATTATTATCATCTTTTCATCACTCTCTGACGAGAAAAAAAAGAAAATTATCGATTGTTAACGTATAAATATGAATGATTTTCTATGTAAAATCATTCAATTTATTGAATCAAATATTAATGTTTTCTTTTTATATTTTAGAATGATTTCGACGATACAAAATTAAACAATTCAATTCAATACAAGTCAACAAAATAATGTAGGTGTCAATTTTTATTTTTTTTTCTTTATTGGATCATACAGAGGGTGGTAAGTAGTGGCGTAACTAAGGGGTGGCCAGGTGTGGCTCAGCCACACCACCGGGCTTTTGAGCCACACCATCCGTAGTTTGAACTTAGCGAGGTTTGAAATCGAAATAAATGAAAATCATTCAGAACATCGTATGTTCAATTACTGGACGAGTATACCCCAAAAAAATACTTAGATTCTGTATTTTGAATATATTTTCACTATAGTACTATATTTTTTAAAAAGTAATTACATATTCAGAAAGCCCATGGAGTTTTCTATTATAATATATAATTGGATTATAGTGTAGGTCGATTCATCACCAAAATAAATTGAATACGATGAAGATATCCTCATATCCAGATTCTCAAGGATTTGATTTTTTTCACTGTGATCAAAATTAGTTTTTAAAATTTTTTATCACTATAGAATTACCTTTTTAAAAAGGCAATTTATATTCTGATAGAGCTTGACATTCTCTATCTTTCTATCTACTGTGATATTATTTTGAACTCGTCTCTTATTATTTAAGGACGTACGACCACATCCTTCGCGTTCGATAACATTATTTATTTCACGAAATACTTGTAAAATATTGAAAACGGTTGCACGTGAACAATTAATAATAGAAGCTATTTGTTTTGGAGTCATACCTTGATCTAAACGTAGCGAAACAGTTCGCCGTCGATCGCCAACAGATAAATGACTATTCATTATTAATGAATCGGTTATGTCTTCAGGCCAAGTTGGATATCGAGCAGAAACCACAATTTGGAAGAGCTAGTTTGTTCACACGGGAAAACTAACGATCGTACTGTAAAAGTGAATACTGAGTATCTGACTGAGAAGTTAAAGACAAACAATATGAGAGGCACACAGTGACAACAACTGGTATTTATAGTATTGAAAATGGAGCATTCCAGAACATAAGAGAGAGATATAGACAACCATAGAAAGTTCTGGAATGTACACCAAACACTGGACAGTGGATGGTCATGTGGACACACACGTGGCCACGTAGTAACTACACTACAGAATCGTAATGAAAGTGAAACAGAAACTCAATCAAAATGTGCTCTATTCATATGTTAATGAATTCATCTATCCAAGCATTTCTTTGGAAGTAATAATTTTAAAAAGAGCAGGGAAAAAAATATAGATTTTTGGTACTTGTCGAGTAAGGATTTTTTTATTGTACTCAAATTACTTTTGCAATACATAAATGCAAGACAGTTGACAAATATATAGAAAGATAGAGAATGTCAAGCTCTATCAGAATATAAATTGCCTTTTTAAAAAGGTAATTCTATAGTGACAAAAAAATTTTAAAAACTAATTTTGATCACAGTGAAAAAAATCAAATCCTTGAGAATCTGGATATGAGGATATCTTCATCGTATTCAATTTATTTTGGTGATGAATCGACCTACACTATAATCCAATTATATATTATAATAGAAAACTCCATGGGCTTTCTGAATATGTAATTACTTTTTAAAAAATATAGTACTATAGTGAAAATATATCCAAAATATAGAGTCTAAGTATTTTTTCCGGAGGTCTATATACAATATGACTAGTTACTCATCTAGAATAGCCGATATGCACATAAAATCTTTTAGGTTGACTGTGATTTTAAGCTTTGAAATTTTGTAATATTAAGTCACTGCCTGTGAGAATGGTCAATATTTAATACAGGTTAAAATTGGTCTGTGGCTGAGCCACACCACCCTTAAATTCCTGGTTACACTAGTGGTAAGTCCTCTTGTGATCTTTTATATTCATGTTTTTCTTTTTCTTTTAAAGACGTCATCATTCAACATCAACGGGCGAGTTATTTTTTTTTCTTTTTCTTTTCTTCGTTGAGATAAGACTAGTTAGAGTGAGTGAGGTACGTTGAGATTAGGGTTTCGCGTTATAAGAAGGACTTCCGGGCAGTTCCTAAAAGCTCGGTCAGGAACTGCTTTGGTGTCCATGGTATACGATCGGGCCCCCAGACTCACTGACATATGACATCGGATAGGTGCATGTGGATGATATGGGTCTTCCCGCGCGTGCGTGAACATTACGCGCGCCATGGCTCCACCAGGATGGTTCCTGCTCGCGCGTGCGAGAACAGAATAAATTTGAATGCAGTTTTTCATTCAATCACAATTTATTTGAAAGAGGAAGAAAAAAATAACGAAACAAAAAAAAATTAATCACACGAATTGAGTTTATTTGATATTAAATTTTTGTACTCGATGATTTCCCCAATCGACGACATAGAGATTGCCATGTCGATCGAATGATAAACCTACGGGACCATTGAGTTGATTCGACTGTGATCCTTCACCGTTTCCACCAATAATGACAGCTCCTTGTGTGGCTCCTTTTGGCCAACGCATGATTCGGTTATTCCAAGAATCAGCCACATAGACAGTGTCCAATTGATCGACAACGATTCCATGAGGATGATTCAATTGTGTAAGACTATTTCCTTCTCCTTCACCACCGGCTACGACAATGCCTTGTGTTGCACCTTCTTCCCATTTCATTATACGATGATTTCCATACTCAGATACGTATACTGAATGATCTCGATCGACAAATACGTAGTGAGGGTAAGAGAGTTGATCGAGACGATTTCCTTCTCCATTGCCACCTGCAACCACTGTTCTTTGAGTATCACCAATTTTATATCGTTTCACTTCATGTTTTCTGTCGTCAACGACATAGAGAGAACGATTGTCGTCCATTGTCAAACCCCAGCAATCGGTATTTGAAATCATTGCTTCTCCACGAGTACCATTTAGACGAGGCCATCGAACTACTCCGTTAATCTCTTCATCGCTGATGATGAGACTATCGCTCTCTCTGTCGATAATAACGTCATGTGGGTATTTTAATTGATGAGCTCCATTTCCTGCCCCATTTCCACCCGCAACTACTTTTCCATTCGTTGCACCAGATTTCCATTCCATAATACGGTGATTTCCCCAATCAACGACATAAATCGTTAGATCGTCGTCGACGTACAAACCCCATGGCCAGTCGAACTGATTTGTTTCACTGCCATATCCATTTCCTCCAGCAACAGTGATACCACTCGTTGACCATGTTGCATTTGGATGAATATCAATAGAACTTGCACGCATTGGTACTAAAATGAAAGAAAAGTATGGAGTAGAAGTAAACATTGATTTCATGTTGCTAAGAAATTCATGAGATATTTGTAATTTAGTTGATACGATCAGAAGAAGTATCTAATTTTTTGTAAACATATTTATTGAATGTAATTGTTCTACTTTTACAATAATTAAAATTTTTGTGTTGGTTTTTTTTGTTCAGAGACAAGACTTTCAAAGAAAAAAAGAGAATGAAATCTATCGCATCGTTTTAGTTTTAATTTTTGTACTATATTAAAACATTTCATTATCAAACTATATGAAAAAATAATTTCAGAATATTTAAATTATAAATCAATGCAAATGTAGTTTTATTTCTTGTGTTTTATTGATAAAAAAAAATACGATTTATTAATACTTATAAAAGTGAAACTTTTATTTTCTATTTATAGATGAAAATAAACATAGTCGAAATTATTGATAATAAACAAAAGATAGATATGAGTGTTGGAAATATAAACAACACAACTGAATTGACTGTTTTATCTATTAGTCTTTGTTTGACTCAGTGTGAATTTTCAGTCAAAAGAATAATGAAGAAATCTTTGCTGAATAAGTCCTTATATTTTACATAACACTGAAAAATAGAATTCGAAATTCACACTGAAAGTCAAACTTGGGAGTATATCCTCTATATTAGAATACAATGCAACCATGTCAATAAAATTAAACTTTTAATTTGAATTAAGTTGAATAGTTAGAATTAGAAGATAGCAATGTAATTCATCTCATGGAGATAAAGCTAGAAGTTATAAATATTAATACAAAATTCTTTTTCCTCAATGATACTTGCTAGATGAAATATTCTCAATTTCTTTTTACATTCATACTGTGTAATACAGACAAAGATAGATCCTTTAAAAAAACAGGAACGAATGTAACTTGATGTACGTATTTATGGTAACTTGTAATATTATATAAGAATTCATGATTGTTAAATAGAATAATTTTTCTTATCTACAGGCAATCATATTTTTATCATCATCTTCGTGTGTTCAAATTATTCAAACATCTGCTTATGCATACAAACTCCATTTATTTAAAATAGATATGATCTATTACACTATAAACAAATTTCGAATAAATTACTTTTTTATTTGATTAATGAGATCCATCTTTTCTCTCATATGAATCTGTTTCATACCGTTCTGAGTTCTATGTATGATATATGTATAGGATCTAGCTGACAATGTTATTTCAATGAAATTGAAAAGATGGCTCATCATTTATTTAAATCAGAATATGTTATTTGTGGTGATTTAAAGTATTTCTTAGAATTCTAAATAGACTCTTTAATTTCATTTAATGATTGATCGATTCCAAGTGAAATCTAGTTTGTATAGCAGTGAATAACATAACGAATGTCATAAAAAATAGTTCTGTCTATATTTTCAACATTTCTATCTCTTAATAGATCAAATAACCTTGTTCTTATTTTCTTTGAAGAATTTCCTTGAAAACTCTATAGAGCATAAAATCATTTATTTCTCTCAATATACATAAAAAGTTTAACGAATAATATCTATTTTTGTGAAGATTTTTATGACATGTTTTGATTAATTCATTCTGTTATTGTCGCGCCAAAAGAAGAGGAAAATATACAAGTCAAAAATGTTCATTAAGATAGAGTTTATTTTGTAAAAGTTGATACGAGGTGTCAGTTAGAACATTTCCTAAATGTTTATGAAAGGATTAGACAACTAAAACACTATGAAGATGGACAAACAATAATACTTTAAGATGTGCACTCAATTTCATCAAATGTTAACGAAACAATAGAAGTGACTGGAATTGATTAGTGAGATAGAGGGTGTGGATGTGGGTTCTATTCGTAATAAAGTAAGTGTTTATCAATCCTGTTGACTTTCTTTCATTCAGCAATTGCACTAATTTAAAACGTTATCGAAAACAAATTCAAGATTGTATGGTATAAAAGTATCGAAGATCATTATACTATAAGCACATACTTTTGAAAAACTCTCAGTCAGACATTTTTTTAGTCAAAAACAATATAGATATTACTTTTTCATAAAGTTCAGAAAAAACAAATCAGTTGTCAATTATGAATCGTTTCGAAAATTCACTAGTTGTAATAAAAATTGTATTCTAATTTTAAATAGTCTATTACATAACTACATTACTAAAATATGAATCGTCTACTTATCTCTATAATCTTACATTTCAAGTTTTTCAACAGTAGTTAAGAAAGTGTAAATTAACTATAGATAGGCTCCAATGAGCTGCTACCTTGACGTATGTTGATTAGGTTACGTTTTCCAATTCTTTTCTTCTATATTCTTAGAACTAAATAAATTGTACGGATGAGTTTATTCCAGAAGAATTAAGTAGGTTAATTTTGAAAAATTTTGAATATACCTATATGAAATAATCATTTGTAAAATTAGAATAAGATCCGTAGCTTCAGATTCTGAAACCAATGAATTAAAATGAAATTCTCTAAGATAATTCAAATTCAAGTAAATAAATATAATTCGATTTTCAGTGTTTTTATTGATTTCAATCATTATTGTTATAGAAAATTTTGAAGGAAAATTTCAAAATGATGAATACTACGATTTTCTTTTTCAAATTTTGGTTCTAACTAGGGTGTGGGTGTGGGTATGGGTGTAGGTGAGGGTATATGTGTGGGTGTGGGTGATGTCTTACTCTATACCCACACCCACACCATTTCTTTTGTAAGAGTTTTTAAACACTTCGAGTTTCGCGAGGTAGTGTTTTTATAAATGCTCGCACTATCACTATCGCCCTTCTAATCACCT